TTGTTTCAAAGTGTGTGGCACCTCACCTCTCTCTCCCTCTTGCTCCTGCTCCCACCACGTGAGGCACCTCTCTCCCCCTTTGCTTTCCACCATGATTGGAAGCTTCCTGAGGCCTCCCCAGAAGCAGAAGGCCCTGTGCTTCCTGCACAGCCTGCAGAATCATGAGCCAATTAAACTTCTTTTCTTTGTAAATTATGCAGTCTCAGGTTTTCTTTTATAGCAGTGAAAGAACGGAGTAATACAATGATGTAATTGGAGTAGGATGAGATGGAGTGAGCATTAAGTATGCTGGAACTAGGGGATCAAATGATATCAACTCACTCTCTCCTGCTCAAAAGCATACCTACTCCCCAAAAATGCTTGGCTCTCCTTCTTCTTCCTTTTATTAACATGTGGTCACTATTCTATCATGGGCTTTACCCAGGAAATGAGTTAAAAGGCCACAGCTATGTGTATATGTGTGTGTGTGTTGAGGGGGTGGGGAGGGGGTGGAGGTCTTAGTTTACCTCTTCTACTCCAATACCTATCCACTGATGACTTCTAAACTTTTCGTCAGCCCCATCCTAATTCTGATTTCCAGATCTAGATATTTAGAGGGCAATTTGGCCTAGATGTCTAATAAGTCATTCAACTACAAAGCAGTCAAAATAGAAGGTGCTACTCTTCTTATGTTTTTATCCTTAGTTATTTGTGTTTCTCTTCCATGTTGATGGTGATACTATCTTTAAATTCCCCTTGGATCTTCATCAGAGATCAGAATTTATAAGTTGATTGATAAATATTCATTAAATAAATATATGTTGAACATGCAAAGTGGAGATGCATCATGTGTAACATAATTTTGTTGTGAGGATTAAATGAAACAACATAGGAAAAACATTCAGTAAAATGCTTGACACACATAATTTCATAACCAATGAATGAAGAGGATACAAAAGATATTTTTAAGCTTGTGTCTTTTATCCTATAGTTTCTCAAGTGAATTCGTAACATGAAAGAATATATTTTTCACACCCAGGGAAAGTCACCTTACCACCAGAATATCATTTAGTACACTTCAGGTTGTGCCTTGAAGTGTTTGTTTGCATTTGTTAATATAAATGAGAGAAGAACAGAGAGCTTCTCCCACTTCAGGTAAGCCCGTAAATGGAGCTGTCCCTACTGCATCTCAGGGCATTGTTAGATACATATTTCACTTTAGCCTGGAATCCATTTGAAATGAGTTGAGTGTGTGAAAAGCATGGTCATATATATATAACTATATATGTATATATATAAAACGATATATATATATGGCAATAAACCAATTATTAATAATGTAAAATGTAGTGAGTGATATTACACACCCATCTCTATAAAAGGCATTTTCTCAAACATGCTCTTTAGTGTTTGCTGGACTCCCATACATTAGGCATAAAAAATGGCATTGAAGGTAGAGAAGGGGGTACTCAAGGAATGGCAGTCACATATGTGGCAGGAGGAAGTGAACCTAAGCCTCAGTGCTGCATGTCCATCCCTCAGCTCACTGCACCTCAGTGCCACGCTTAGCCCTGAGAAAACCTACTCTGCCCACAGACATTCACTGGGGTAGCATCCTTTACAGTTTTCAAGAACAGACATTATTTTCTGTTAGGGGGAGAGCATTTCCTTCATAAGTAAAATTTATCCACCAGTACTGATCCTAGAGGTGTTGAGTGCCTTGAAAGCTCTCTGTGTCATGAACTCTTAGACTAGAAATGAATCTTAAATTAGAATGGCACAAATGTGTATCACAAGCATATAAACACACTCAAGCATACCACGCCTGACATTTAAAATGTCTAGACTAAGAAAATGCGAGGCCAAAAGTTTGGATAAATAAACTAGGTGGACATAGAAGCCCTGTAGGACAATGACATGAATGTTGTCAAGAAAGGCTGTGTGTGTTAGAGGCCAAAAGGCCTGGATTACTTATGGGGATATAACCAGGGTCTAGACAGCAGAGATGAGATATCATTAGCGATTCACCTGGCATGTGCCTTAACATTGCTTTTCCAGCAGGGCAGATAAATGATGGCCTGAAAGCTGCCTCAGAAAATCAAGATGATTCCAGTCTGTTCTCCACGACCCTGGAGAAGAATGGGCATCCCCTATTCTCACTATTCCAACGTCAAGAATGTCCTTGGGGGAAACACCCGAGTCAGCAGGGGCAAGGAGGCGCAAGTAGCATTTGGTAAACAGCACAAAAGGTCTGTAGGATACAGTGGAAATATTCATGAGGGAAGAGAGCCATGGAAAGAAGGGCTGGGGATAAGAAGCACAAAATTGTAAGAGAATGTGATATGACTTAGACAAGGCTGCTTGCCAAAACTCTGCACAGGCAGCGGTCAAGCTGGTCTTCTAGTCTCCTTGGACAAAAAGGCTCTGTTGTCCTGATTATGAGCTCTCTAATAGAGTATATAGATTTTGAACCTTTGTTTTTGCAGGAAGATGACTTTCTGTAACCATGCAATGTATATTCAACTTGTCATAGAAGTTAACTGTTTAAAAAATTTGGATGCTCTTTATTTCTTTATCTTGGTCTGATTGCTCTGGCTAGGACTTTCAGCACTATATCCAATAACAGTGGTGAAAGTGGACATCCTTGTCTTGTTCCAGACTTAGAGGAAAGGCTTTTAGTTTTTCCCTGTTCAGCATGATACTAGCTGTGGGTCTCTCATATATGACTTTTATTATGTTGAAGTAAGATGTTAACATTTTATGTATAGTAGAAAATGTCTGCGCTTGGATGCCTGTACTGCCTTTGTAACCAGGGAAAAGGCTCTGGTCTCCAATACAAATAGGCTTTGGGAAAGGATCTTTGCAAAAGTGAAAAATCTAGGGAGTCTGTTTTCCTTTGATACACTGTTCTTTAATTTATCATTTGGCTTATCTCAGAGAACAGAAAACATGATGCCAACTGTGTAAGAGAAGCGGAAATGTATTATTACCTATAAAAGAAAAGTCAAAGAGTAGATATAATTTAGGCATGGCATGGCTGGAGACAGAAAATCAGTGCCATCAGAATATATTTTCCCTGTATCTCTTGTTTCTGTTTCCTCTGCTCTTTAACTTCATTCTTAAAGGGGCTCCCATTTGTTCTTACAAGATTGCTGCCTGTGGCTCTGAGAAAACACATCCCAGGAAAAAAGAGTGACAATCTTTCTCTTAGGATTTCTAGGTAAGGAGCAGAATATCAATGGATCTGTTTTAGGTCATGCGCTGATGCCTGCACTAGTGTCTGTGACCAAGGGACTTCCATCTGTAGATGTGCATAGGCCCAGATTTTGTGTTCCACCCCAGATCATGATGAAGTTAACACAAATGAAGACACAACCTTGAGGGTAAGGTTAATCACAAAAAGATAATTGAATGTTAGTTTCTAGAATATGGATGGCTGGATATAGAAACATCAGCAAAAGATGTCTACTCTATTTGATTTTTTCACTCCTTAGTTCCCATACTAGCTACTAACAACACTCATTGTTGCTACAATATTTCTACTTTCTGATGTAAACCTATAGTGGATTTTCAAATCCCAATCTTGCTAACAAATGAAGGAGCCATAGTGTATTTCATCAGGATCTTCAATATATATATAAAGCTAGATACCAGTAAAATGGATGACTTACTCTTTTGCATAAACAAAACAGTAAGTGGAATCAAGAAAAATTTAAAGCCACTATGGCCAGAGACACTGATAGTGAATGTGACCCAAAATTATAGTTAATCAGTGGCAAAATTGAGGGCAAAATTCATGTCTCCTTATTTCCATACCAGCGTCCTTTCTTTCTTTGAGTAGGAATCATCCAGTAGCCTAATACTCCTCCTCTCTCCATGGTCTTTTACTTCTCCAACCACAGAAAGTATAACATCCATTTGCGAATGGTAAAAAACAGCAGTAGGCCTGGGTAACTCAGTGATTCCTTCCTTTGGACTTTGTCTTTTGTAGGAAGGATATTTTCTCTTTTACTCCATGTCTTTTAATTATATTAATGGGGTAGGGTTTAATTCTGCAGATAGGCCTGCAATTGGTGGTAAGTATAATTTTGGGTAACAAGATATAACAAGATACAACAAGATATAACAGTTGGGTTAACAAGCCCAACTGGTGAAGATAATTTAAACTACCCAAAATGGGAGGAAGATGACTTAAAACAATCAATACATAGAAATGAATATCAGCTCTTTTGTTGTTTATTTGTAATAAATGTGATATTTGGTTCTTGTTAGTTTGATTCCTTTATTTTTGTCTCCCACTTTGTTCGACATTTAAGTACAGCATAGGGATGTTATTTAATTGACATCCTCACACTCCAAAAGAAATACTTTTCTGAATTAAGTAGAAAAAAAGAATAAGCAAGTGTAGGTCCTCTGTTATCCATTAATCACATTTTCCATATTTTTCAAATTCTATATAAAAACCAAATTCCCTAAAGAGAAGAGGAAAAAAAAAAGAAGATTAGTATCATAAGGAAAGTGAACATTGGTATTGAATGTGCTTTTCCTTATCTTCTAAAAGAGGTCTGAGAAGGGAGCTGCTTTTAAATTCCCTTTACATTCTTCTTTTTTTTTTTTTCATTTTTCTTGGTTACCACTATAGTCTGTACATTCTTTCTCCATGTCTTGATTATTCAAAAGGTGTCCTACGACATTTTTTATGTAGAGTTTTTCATCCCCTAACCCATTCCCATCTCAATACCTTTCAGTTCAACATAGAAATACCAGATTTTCTTTTTTTCTTTTTTTTTTTTTTTTTACCAAGAGGTAAAAGATAACCACAGCAATAATGCTATGCATAATTCACACGGTTCGCTCTGTGCTCAAATTTTTCACTGTTTTCACACTGTCTATTGATTGTAGTCTAATCCCCTTTCTTGGGCATTTATGTTTCACAGAAGACTAACCTCTTATTTTCCATCTTTACATATTACCATTCTCTAAATACATAATATTTCTTTCAGCATCATATTTGTATTACATCTGTAAAGACACTGCACACTTTCTTGATTCCAAGTGTTTTCCCAGACAGTTGGCACTGTGTAGATTGAACAATCCTTTTTCTTTTTTGTGTTCCATTTCTTTAAAACTCCTTTAGCCCTCTCGTTCTTCAAGAGACTTCCCACACCAACCCCTGTAATCAGGCTCACCTTTGATATATATCTAACGCACTCATTTGGTTCAAGAATGGCAAACATAAATGCTTGGAGCCTACTGGGTAATATAAATAAGTGATGTGAACCACTTCCATTACAAAAGAGAGAGGAAGAACTATGGTGGTTTGGAACATGTGATCTCCATTTGAACAGGGAGCTACTATGAGGCAGTTGAGGCTTATTTATTGCCTGATAAATCCTTGCTTAGTATCACTAAGCAAGTTTGAAATCTGTATTTTTGGGTAAATTCTATCAATGATTTCAAAACTTATTAAAACATCATTTTTTCCAACAAAACCAAGGTTGCTTTCTATTCTCATCAACTTTGTATGCATATGTTCTTTTTGCCAAATAAGACCACAAGCTTTTTAAGAGTATGGACTGTTTCATGTAATGTTCTCTTTTCTTAGCATATATTACCAGAGTGCTAGACTGAGTAGGCTTGAGGGATTCATTAAGGATAGTGAATATGACTTTATAAATTCTGGCCAAGTCTTGGATTCATCATTATTTTTCAAAGATTTTACATTGTTCACAAGTGGCAGATATCTCTGAGAGCAGTGAGTCCAATTTACCAGGGCTTTTTCCTCAAAACACTGCCAAGAGCAGAGACCAAGGAATTACCCTTCTCCTCCTATCACTCAAAAGAGCATTAGGACTATTCTTCTTGCCCCAAGATATAGAAATGGCATGGAAATTAAGTTTACACATTCAGGTCATATGGAGAATTAAGCAAATATGCATGTCACTGCACCATTCCTGCCATTGGAATTAATTTTCTGTGTTCCAGAATAAGATATGTTTGATATGAACTGTGCTCATATTGGCTACAATGTTACTGAACAATTTTTAACTATTTTAACCAGCAGGGCTCTTCATTTATTCTTAGACTGAGAAATAAAAACTAGAGTGGTCACAGTACATCTCTCAGAGTTACAAGGTAGATAGGAAGGAAAGAAGGAAAGAGGGAGAGAGGGAGGGAGGGAGG